CCAAACCCGTAATGTTATTGCATTGAATCAAATATATTGAGCCCTCAATCGGTGAATGAAATTTCACTTCAAATGTCTTTTTCGATCCAAAGGGTAATATCATAGCGCAAGAAACGGATCCGTTCTCTACATTCCTCAACATTAAAGTCCGACCGATTAAAGTATTTTCACCGCTAATTGACTTGAATTTGGCTGTGAAAACATTTTCGCGGCCGATCTCTATGGGACCCAAAACGGCCGTCAAGTCTAAGCTCAGTGCCGATGGACTCATCTGTGGGCATGAATTATCGCCAGACATGCCGGCAGTGCTTCCATAGACTTTCCAATCGTATCGCTTGTCATTTGCACCCAAAATGTTGGCCCGAATTGAAGTGATTCCGTTGTTTTCAACGAACAGCACATATCCTCGCAATCCATTTGACTGTATATTTGCGATCAGACTTTGAGAGAAGTCCAACACATTGGTTGACGATGGGTTGGATGTGTTGGTTGACAACCGTTGACTGTCTATGACTTTTAAATTTACTTATTTAGTAAACAATACTCTTTGAAATTTTTGAATATTTATATTTGTTCGTTAAATAAAATTAATATTAGTTAAGTTTATGTTGGTTTAACATTAATCAAATTTTTAAAAAAAAAGTTATGTTTAAATGGTGGGAATATGCGCTTAAATATCAATCTTAAATCTTTATATCAAAATCGTGGTAATAATTATAATAATTGAATATATGTTACAATTTATTGTATAAGAAACAGAAAAACTTGAATTACTTTTTTAAAATAGAACTTTAATTAAACTTTTTTGCATTATGTGTTGAATTGTGTTTACTTTGCATTTGTGACCCAATTTTCAAATTAAAGCTTTGAATTAATATTTATGTATTTATAATAAAAGATTAATCATAAATATTTAGGAAAGATATTTACATTTTTCTAAATTTATTATAATATATTATAATATACAATATTTGTTTATTTAATAATTTTAACCATATAATTATATTTCAATTAACTAGTTGTTTTGTGGCATCTCACTTATTACTATTAATTTAAATCCATATCATAAACGCTAATAAATTTAATTTAGTTATTAATTGATTTTTAAAAATTATTAAAATATTTAAATTATAAAATCAATGTGAATATTTAGATAAATATTTAAACAAAATGATATAATTTATAAAATGATATAATAATAAAAAGCAAAACACATACCAACGGCTAATATGATGGAAAACGCTGAGAGACGGCACAAAGTTTTCAATAATACCGTTAACACCATTGTGTCCTAATTCAAGAACTGGTCAAAAATGTCTTTACAATCCCTTATATCGATATTGAGGTCTTATATATTGAGCTCCGATTCAGCAAATCTTCACACGAAAAACAACAATAAATGACTGAATAATCGATTAAAAAATATTAGACAAACTTTTATTGAGTAAATTTTGATTACTTGTTGTTCACCTAAAAAATGAGCGAATGTTTCAATTCAGTCAGTCTTCAGCTCAGCGTTTGAATGAAATGAAAGATTTTGTTATAATTTGAGTATTGAATGGAAAACAGAAGCGAATGGTAAAACAGGAAACAATTATTCAGTTAATTAAACTATTTTTAAATTTCTATAAGAAAAAAGAGCCCAAACTTTACATAACACATCATTTCACATAATTTCATGGCTTTCTCAACGAAAGGCTGCAAAAAGAAAAGCCATTGAATTGTATTTAAGTGCAGTTCTCTCTCCTATTAAGAGAGTGAGAATTTTTAGTTTCACTATAATTGGGGTTTCAATCGCTTATACTTTTATAGTAATATTCATTTAAATACTAGTTTCTATTCAAATGAGTTAAACAAAAAAAATACTTGAAAAAAACTTCAATTGTTTTGTGTATTCCTGGCATTAAAAGGTAAATACATGTGAAGGCATATAATTATACACAATATAATGTATATTTAGAGCACATATTAATTGTTTTTAATTAAATTACACAACGCTTTAAACATATTGTTATCATCTTCTCAAGTAATTTATCACTAAAATTAGTTCATAGAAATAGAGAGTAATTTATATTTCAATTTAAATTTAATTAATATAATTTATTTTTTCACTTTCTTGTCATAATCACTATCGCTGTAACTGTTACGCACATATTAATATTATTTTCAAACCATGGTCATTTACTTTTAATTGCATTTACATGTTTTATTTTTAAAACGGTATCATAATATCATAGTACTAACACTAATTAAATGTAATAAAATTATTTATATAATTTAAATTAATATTAATAATCATAATCTTTGCTATAAAATGTGCTAAATTTGATCATTTATATTAATAATTAAAATATAATTGATAATAATTATTTTATAGTTCGTACTGTATACAGGTATACCTGACATGTCCATTAGAATTTATATTAAATTGTGAATTTAGTAAAATTAACAAAAGTCAATTATAATTGTAAGTCAGATAATTATCTACAAATTTAGTAAATAATTTTTATATTACATTTAAAGATATGAAATTTTAAAAAATCTTCAATAAACTAAACTAGACTAACTACTGTAGATCTTTTTGTAATATAATTTTATTACATTTAAATTCTAAATATCAACAGAACCTAGTTACAGTGTACATCAATCAATAAACCGACCAAGTTCGATTAAAAAATTTTAATGTTAATGTAGATTAAAACTTTGAAACACAATTTTTGACACTTATGTACAATTTTATTACATTTAGTAAAATTAAACCTTATTTTGCAATCTATAAAATTAAGTTATTTGATAATAAATAGGGTAACATTTTAACATCATTCAAGTAATCATTAGATTATATACTGTATACTTGTTTATTGCAGTGGCATTAGAGGGCACCTCAAAGTTAAAACATTCTTCATCTCTTCATACAGAATCTGAAATCAGATTTATATTAAAGTATAGTATTATACATAAAATACACGAATAAACTTTTAAGACGTCGAAAAAGTGCAAAAATGGGCACCTTATACATTTATACTTTATTGTTTAATATCTCTGTATTATTTAAATATTAATCTCCCAGATCTATCATGACAAATCTGTAGGAAAACGGCTGATTTTTTGAACATTTTTCTATAGTCTTATGATAAGACTCTTATCCAACACCGCTTTATAATTACTTACGGTTATGTCTGTTTATAATTGTTAGCCAGGTTATAACAGTTTATAATTATAATAATAATCGCGCATTTAGAGTAGTTAATAACGTTTTTACCAACATTTTTAATATTCAATATTTTCAATGAATTAATTACAATTATTAATTGTCAATTAATACAATAAATAAATTGTATGCAATTCTTGAATACGAATAAGTGATTAAAATTAAATGTTAAACTGATTTGAAAGGCTATTACATACATCTCATTAGAATTCAATCTTTTCTAAAAGCTCTCAATTTATCAGTTTATAGCACAATGCAGTTGAGCCCATACGGAGCCCATCGATGGGCCCCCTCTCCCCCTCTTCACACGCTTTTATAAATCCTATAAAGTATTAATACAATCATGAATTCGGGTCTCATTTGTCAAAAGGGAGTCTAAGAAACGCAATGAAAATAAGGATTAAATACCTGTCATTTGAACGAGAATTTATCCGATTGGCGGACAAAACGCCTCAATCCTCATGAGTGGCGGCCTTTCAATAGATTTTGTGGATAAAAATTTCACACATTATTAATTCCGGAGACACACGTGTCATACAAAACGCATATACAGTAACGCTAACAAAAGCAAAAAACATTCACAAATGGGTTGCAAATGTATTTTTAACAAATCATTTGTCGTTAAATTTATTCATTCATTTTAATCAATTACTTCTAAAACAAGTATCAAAAAACATTTATCTATTTATTTGAACCCAAAGTTTAGGCACTATTTGTTGTCCGGAATTTCAATGCAAATGCCTTTGTATTGAATTCTTTATTTCGCTAATTATTGTCATTAATTTGTTTTGTAATCAAACTATGAGTCAATTGAATTACATTGTATTGTATTTGAGATGAAGATGTGGTCTTTGATAAAAACATAATCCCAAACAAATTGAAAACATTATGAAAAACAAAATCTCTTTTATACACACGTATTAATCATATTTCTTATGACAATTTTTTAAAGTAAATATTTTGCAAAAGTCTTATCAAATATAATATAATACGATATGTTTGAAGAGTTGATTGCTTTTCATTTTGCAATAATTTAAAACCATTGAATTAAATGTGTTTTATGATCACTAAAAGAAAATAAAAATGCTTTTTTCTTATTAAAACTCATGACTTGTTTTTTAATTCAACAAAAATGTTGTTAAGATTGACATTAAATACAAGACTTTGCTATAAATTAATCGATCAAATAATACGAAATATTTTATAACTTCTGAAAGATTACTCAACACTTAATATAAATTATTTCACAAAATTAATCAATTATTAAGAAGTAAATTCTGGTAAATAAATATGAAATGCCTTTTTTAAAAACATGTGTTGAGTAATGACTTTTTATGTGAGATATAATAATTGGCAAAATTCGTTAAACATTTATAAATATAACGATTATTTGATAAATTGCCGCTATTTTTGTCTCCCATATTATCAATATATTTAAGAGCCAAACGTTATGAGAAAAACTAGAGAAGAGAGTAATCAAAGTTTGAAATCATCCAAACGCTGAGGAATATGAAACTATAGAGCAGTTATGAGATATAAAATTGAAATTTCTATAATAAAAGTTAACTCTTAAGAGCACTCCAGAGAAATCTATGGATAGATGAAAAATAAGCAATAAATAAATACACATTCTTTCAAACTATCATATAATACACACTCAATAGACATCACATCTCATGTTTAGTTTCAAATATCAAACATCTTTTGAAATACACTTTTAGTTTTTTAGTCATTTGTGTATTTTTATACTCAATATACGAATCAAATGGACATTTATATGTATCGTTTCATTTGGATTAAAACTATTGAATTTATGAAATAAAGTAATTTATAAGAAATTGAATTAATAATCATTTGACTCGAAGAATAAGCGCTTATTTTTGGCATTTATTTATAATTAATGGAAGTTTGAAAGGAATAAATCAAATCAATAAATGCTTAAATGACTGAATCATTGAATTTTATTGTCGATTAAATACAATATACAGAATAGTTATGTTATATAATGTACACAATGATCGTTATGTAACGTATGATCGACTTCTTAATTGATTGCATTTCTCTCAAACATATTTCTAATGCATTTACAGTTATATTTAGATATTGTCTAAAAATTAACGATATATTTGCAAAAATTGATTGAAAGCAAAAACATTTTATTGTTTTTATTTAATTACTAATTCTGTAAATAATGAATAATTTAATGTTTAATTGATGTAATGAACTGTACATTTAAATAATGCAAAAATCAATAATCAGTAAATCATATGTTAATTATGATTGAAAATACATATAAGACTTGTAATCAATGTTTTCACCACTCGTTTCTATAAATTATATAATAATCATAGATATTATCTAATTATTATTCTTTACCCATATTTTACATTTAGTATTAAATTATTAATTCAGAAAAAAGTTTTGTCACAAAGAAGAGAGAATTTGTTTTATGAATTTAAATGTCATTTCAAATCAAACCTTAAATTCAAATGAAGACGTGTTGGAAAAGATCACAACAACTCCTTTATTGCACTAATTTTTTGGAAACACTATTTTTTATGAGAAAAAATACATTTAACTGCACTTCACACGAGTGTCTCAACAAAAAGTACCCCTAACTCGGGGGTAATGTCATCGCATGTGTCAAAAACGGGTGCTCTTTCTTGAGCCGCTTGTCTGTCAGCTCATCTTCGCCTTCATCTGAAGACATGTCCGACGCCTGTCCGGAGAGGTCTAAGTTGTTTTGATGCTTCTTCTTAGCGGTTGCCATCTCTGCCGCGTGTCTATCAGTAGTTGGGATTGAATTGCATTCAAAGCCAATTCATATAAACACCACTTCTATATCACAAAGAGCTCACCTTTTTCTCCATTTGGTTCGTCTGTTTTGGAACCAAACCTATAAATAATACAATTTATTAACTCTATTATCAAAATGTCTTTTCTTATGAAGAGATATGATTTTATGAAATGATAAAAATGCTATAGTTTTCACAAAACTGACAATTTTCATTCAAATATCATTACAAACATTGTAAGCAATATTAAATGTAAGCAATCATATGATTGTTAGAAAATATCAAATTAAGTTAAGAAGTTATGCAATCGTCATATTATTCTATAATTATAATTAAATTGAAGTAAAAACTATGATCTTATTATTAAACGTTTTTTGCTCAAAACATAAGAGAATGTATTATTATATGAATATAATATGTTAGACTTTATTATAGCTAAAGTTTGTTTTTATATTAATGTAATTTATAAATAAAATTATAATAAAAGAAATATTATTAATTAGTAGATACTGTATATAGGACTTAATATAATCTTATGATTATCTTTTATGATTAATTAAAAAACCTATTCTCGATTTGTTTGTATCAAAACAATCTATAAGACATTGTTTTTGTAATTAAGTTATATAACGATAATAAACGGGAAAAATTGATATAACCGTAATGCTAAAATACTAATATGTTTGCTATTATAATATAAAACACTTTAACTATTATTGTATAGAGTAATCACAAAACATTTTGTTTCGCATTTAATGTCATTTGAGTACATAATAAGAGCGATAAAACTAATAAAATTGAAAGCAAGATATAAACCATAAAATAGGAAAAACTTCTCAACAAGTTATCAATATATGCAATGTGTGGGCGATCTATGCGTTTAAAACATACATTTCTCAGAATTGCTTTTAAATTATTATAAGAATAGCAGTCATTACTTATTCAATTAGATTATTATACATGACATGAAATTTTATGGCATTTTTATACTAATTAAAGATTTATAGCACAAAAGCATAACATAAATGGCATAATCATAATAATAACGATTAGATAAAAATTGACATTTGATGTGTACCTTGACTTGACTTTCGGACATTCCTAAGGCATAGGCGAGTTTGGCCCTCTCAGGACCGGCCAAATACTTTGTTTGTTCAAAGGTCTTCTCGAGCACATAGATCTGATGGCCTGAAAATGTAGGTCTGGTGTGCTTTTTCTTGCCGTCTTTGTCTAAACACGTTTGACTCACTATTCATACCATTTAATCAAAAACTTAATACTTTTGGCACTCATTTGGATCACTAATAAAAGTTGTACAATACCTGCACCGGCTAACCGTTCCCTCCAAAGTGCCTGATTTTGAACCATACTGGGCCAGTACAGGTGCCGACCCGATAGGTCACCCAATTGGGCCAACTTATGACTTAAGCCGTTGTTTGGACTAAAATACATTCCTTGTGCGACGGCTGCGGCGCCTAAACTGAATCGGGGTAACGCACCCGCGAGGGCTGTATTCAAGGCTGTGTTGGATTGCGAGGCGGAGAACGCGGCAGACGGTCGACTCAGTATGTCGTGAATGAAATGAGAAGTACCCGAAGCGGCCGATGAAGTGGACGACGAGCTGATGGCTGATGGAGACGATGAGGAGGTGGTGGTCGGTATGGATTGCTTCACATTTGGGGGTGAATTACGATAATGAGAGGGATTGGCAATCATTGACGACTGCGATGAGACACCGGTATTGACTTTGAGGTCAGCCATGGAGTGAAGTGCGGAGAGGGGGTGGAAGGGGTTGTGTCTATGAGTGGCCGCTTCGTGCATATTCATGTTGATCATGGATAACATGGAGGACGCGTTATTAGGTGGTGTCGGGACTGCCGATGGGTTTCCAAACTCAAGCATTTCACTCAACACATCAATTATATCAATGATAAACTTTTCATTGAATACACTGTTAATTGCAATCCGTTTAATGTCTCATCAAAAGCGAGTGAATGAAGAGTCTCTCACTGTTCATGAGTTTGTCGTTTGTCTGAAAACCAAACTTTTCAATGATTTTCAATGATTGTTAGAATAACTCTCACTATTAGTCTATGACTCTATATTATAGATGACAGAGAATGCAATGAAAGCAGTCATTGCCTGACAATCCCATAACTGAGTGCTCCGGAAGCCAACATAGAGTATGCTTTAGCTGTTGGAAGTGAAGTCTCCACCTCTTAAGTGATGAATAACACCCCCTTAACTATCGGTAACTTTCAGACAACTACTCATTGACTGTTAGGCTGAGCGCAACTCTTAGCCCCAAATCTATGAAATCTGACGCAAACTCATTGCCCGAAAGTTACAAATTGTGATACAATTATATTAGCGAAGACAACAACATGGATGACATGATGGCTAAGCAGCCATAACACCAACCGCTCTCAATGCTCGGCCCCATCAACTCTGTGGTCGACTCTCTGATCCCTCCGATGCCAGCCTTGCAATCAAAGCTATGCTCAACACCTATAATAAATCAAAGTCAACCTTTAATTTATTGCTTTTTACAACATTTACTACAATTTTGACTAATTTTTAAATATCAAGACTCAATGCAACGCAACTGATGACACTTCTCATCGCTTATAATTTGAGACACACTTTGAATGGACATAAGGAGAGAGTCCAGTGGACAGGAGGACAGTCGCATGGGTTGTATTGCATGGCATTGCATAGCATTGCATAGACGTTGGGATGCTTTGGAGGAAAAGCCGGTGCAAAAGCAATACTGATCTCTGAATTGGTGAACACAATGGGAAAGATTAACAACAATCTGATTGGTAAGTGCTTTGAATTGACTTCTTTTCTGTCAAAGTTATCATAAAACACGTGAATGTATTGAATGTATGAATAGTATTATATTTATAGTAAAGATGGTGAATATATAGTGGAATATAGCTTTTCTGTGTTGAATATGGCTATTTTCACACCGTTCTGGCCATTAGGCTATTATGTTATTATTGTAATAAAAGATGAGCTAAACTGTGAACATTTAGCACAATATATATTTCAATGTTTGGTGGCATTCAAAGTCGCATTGAAGTCAATGCTGGCCCTAATGCCCGCTCTGGGAAAAGGTCCTGCCGTTCATGGGTTGGCATTTTTTATGCGGACCCACTGAGCCGTACAATAATCACTTTAACACATGCAAAACCTTTTGCTGTAGTATTTAAAGCCTATTAAATAGGGAATATCCGTCAGCGTATATATAGCTATTGGAAGGGGACGTACAATAGATACAGTGTTTGCTAGGATTGCCAGTGTTTGCCACTACAGTAGATGCCATACCATCCCATCCATCCATTGCCTGTTGATTTTTAAAGACCAAAACGATTGCACTTTTGTTGAATTGAAGTCAACGAACATTTTATAAGCTGCAGCTCATGGAAACTCATGCATAAACCATAGCTTTTATGATCTCAAAAAAGTTTTGTATTCCTAACTGAATCACTGAATCATTGCTTTGGCGATCGTCTAACACAGCATTCAATGTGTTATTGATTGCAAACACACTCTCAATAACACAATCCATTGAAATTGCTTACGATATGCGATACCAATTCGTAACTTATATTTAAATATGCATTCAAACAAACTATTCAATCATACAGTATATATGGCTAACAGTTTAGGGATATGTACACTAATATTGCCACTAAAGCCTATAACATAGTTATCATAGCTTTTAATCTACTTAATTGTACTTAATTTTATGGCCTAATTATATTTGACGAGTTATAAAATCATTTAATATATTACACGCGGTTCTCAAATAACATATAACATACATGTATAAATTATATATCGTGTATAAATACAGTATATGAGTGTGTATTAAACACATTTAATTGATGTTATTATGTTTAGGTCTCAAAACTAAACCAATTGGCAATTGCTTTTTGTTTACTTAAGTAAGGTTTGCTCGACTCATACAATAATTATAACATTTTATATACACTAATATTACGTATATATTAGACACCAATGTATTTATGCAACCAATAAATAATTCAATTCAGAAAACGGCTAAATTAAAAACCACTACCACTTATCACAAACACATTCCTTTTATTACCACAACTCTCTCTCTCTCTCTCTCTCTCTCTCTCTCTCTACTATTGATAGTAATGAGAGGATGACATGGAGAGTGTCTGTGACAAGAGTTGTAATGTTTTGACGCTTTCCGCACACATCGGCTCTCAATAAAACCACTACCACTTATCACAAACACATTCCTTTTATTACCACAACTCTCTCTCCAATCATTCACTTGTTTCATATAAGCCCTTAATATCAGGAAAACAATAATCTTGAAGAGTTAGAGGAAAGTTATTAATATTTTTATTGATTCTTGAAAGCAATAGATATGAGAAAATGTTTGGCAATAATTATTTTATTTGAGACATCAGTCATTTGAAGTACACCTGAGGACCCGAGCGATCGACACACTAATCATTGCACCACTCAATCGCATCACATATTTCTCTGAATTGCATTGTCTATTATAAGTGCACAAAATGATAGGATAAAAAGCAACTTTGTTATACTTTCACTACACTATATATCCAATGATGAGCTGATAGAGTAAATGCCTATCTATTGGAACCACTTTTTTCAGTTCAATGCCATTAAATATAAAACAAATTGATTATCTTTTATCCATCCTTTAGTTCATACTTTGAAACATTTCTTTTTTGTTTCAAATTTATTTTGTACACCAAAACAAATGACAGACCATTAAATTCATGTATTAATAAAACATAAGCTCCGTTCGGGTATTTGTGATGACAGTGTTTTAGTGGGTTTATTGAGAGCCGATGTGTGCGGAAAGCGTCAAAACATTACAACTCTTGTCACAGACACTCTCCATGTCATCCTCTCATTACTATCAATAGTATCTCTTAAGTGAGACAAACTATAATGTGAGCACCGGGTCATCATTGGTGTAAAAGTCATTCATCCATTACAACGAGGAATAAAAGCAAATTTAAAATCCAAATCTCAAACAACAATAAAGCAAAACACTATTTAATTATAAAGCATTTGAAATGTATTGTCAATAATACACTTTAAAGCAATTTTCAAATGCGCTCTCCGTTTGAGTCGATTGTTATGTTAGTATAGATGAGACAAATGGTAAAGCATTGCAACTAAATTAGATTATAGAGACCGGCATTTGTTCACCAAATGTGTTGTTGGGCTGCACTTCACTGTCAGGTAATTTTTCATCAAATATAATCAAATAAATGTCACTCTTTTCTATATTTAAGCCAAATTTTATATAAATAATGCTTAAATTGTGTTTTATTAATACATTTCGTGCCGACTCTTAACGTTATATCATAAACCATTTGAGAATAATTTAAATAATTTCAAATCACTATAAATGTTCAAATGTATTGCAAACAACATGAAAAAGTTGTGTCCTTTTTAAACAAATTTTATATTTAATAAAAATATTTCTCAATATATTTTTCAATAAAGTTTTTTTTTGTAATAAAACTTGTTTTCTAAGCGTATGGTTTTGAATAATATGGCACAAGAATTGATTTTTTCTTCCATACAATGCAAATATATTATAAGTTATAAAAGAAATGCAATATTTTCTTGTTGTAAAGAAAAGTGCGACAAAATTGAAACAAATTTACGTTTCAATAAGATTTAGTTAACTTTGATTCGAGAGGTTTAATGTTTAATAAAATATATTTGAATGAGAAATAATTGTCGACTCAATGATTACCAAAACGTTATATATTTGTCGAGTGAAGGAAGAAAAATGATTGCATTAAAGAATATGATTTTATATGGAGTGCAACAGCCGTTCACTCAGTCTTTAATTGAATGGATGGAGAATAACATTGCATTCAATGTGTGAGCCATAGACCCAATAACACGTAAAAACGAGCCGAGCGTTAAACAAATGACATCCTTGTTATATGCGCTCCGATCCTATGCTCGACGCTCTCCTCCTGTATATAAAACCATATATTTTTGTGTAATAGTGTCGAGGCTTTCGATGAAAGTGAATGAGAGAGAGAGAGAGAGAGAGAGAGAGCACGAGTTATAAGGGGGGATGAATTGGTAGCCGTGAGGGTTGACAATACAAAACAGTGGAGGGAATTGTAGCTCTAATTGAGTGAAACGCTACACACGACTGCTAAAAGTCAATGGGCCGTAAGCCGGACCAACCAATCGTCTATTAATTACAGACAACTGTACCAGCTCTCTCTCTCTCTCTCTCTCTCTCTCTCTCTCTCCCACACACCGTCTCATATCATTCACTAACTCATACACTCTCTTGACTCTCACTCTCCGCTTAATTCTCTCACACATTATATATTATATATAAAGCTTTTATTGGATCGGAGAATATGGCGAATATATTATATGATTAGTTTTGTGCTCACATTTCACTCAATAACAAAAAGTAGCAAAAAGTAATGCAATTTAATTGAAATCGATTGAAGTATTGTATTGTTGTGTATATGAGTCAGAATAGAGAGAACATTGAATACACGGTGTACTCACTTGACTCCTATAAGAGCACAACATCTGTATTACAAACTCATGATTTGCTTTCATATTAAAATTTAATTCCCGATTCCGTTGCCTTCCGTCGCCTTTTCTCTCTCCTCCTCCATAGCCATCGTTTGAGACCATTATTGGCATAACTTTTTAAACTGTCAATCAAAGCACGGCTGCCAACAATCGTATTGAGATTTACTTTAAACATCTAATACTAATCCTGTGGTCTATCGTCGTCTAAGCATTCATTGTATTCAATCAAATATCGATAAAAATGGCAAACCCTTCTCCTGTCGCCTCAATTCACTCATTATCTCTATTATTGCTCTAAATATGATTAATAAAAAGTCAGACATATCCTACTTATCCTCGTTATCCTCTTCATGTGTATCTCATATCCCTGTTATCCTTAAGTGAATAGTAGTGTTCAATGTGTATGTATTGGCAAACATCGACTGCCGCCACAGTAAGCACTCTATATCGCAAATCTTGACGTTGTTATGAAACAACTCAACAAAAAGCCATTTATGAAACAAAACATTAATAAATCGGAGTTACGTTCAAATGTATTCAATGACTATATTAGA